GGCCCCTCCCAGCCACCTGTGCTCGACGGGGCCTCTAGGGATGCTTTGGACCCCCTCATCCTGGAGTGTGGGACCCTCGGGCACGACGTTTTCCGAGTTAATTCAATGTATTGCTGCCGTCGTTGTGCAGGGCATTGTTCTGTGTTGCAGGTTAATAGTCTCAGGAAGCTGAAGCATGAGTGTGTAGGCCTCTCGGACAACCTCAGCACTCGGAGGAACCAGCTCAGGGCGATCGATAGGATCAGCCGCGGGCTCGAGCCACGACAGCGAGGAGGGGACCCCAAGCCCCCGCCATAGGCTGTTTGTTTTTTGGTCTGGCCCCCCAGGTTCCTGGCGTGTGTGGTCCTGGGCCCCTCGCTTTTCCTGGTGTGGCCGTGGTTTTTTGTTTATCTCCATGTTTGTGCTGAGGTATGTCAGTCCAGCTGGCGTACTCTTGGTAGCCTGCACCCTGCACCCTCCTCCTTCTCCTCCTCGCCACGGGTCCTCGGGTCCGCCTGGTGGATCTCGCCTCGCCCGCCCGGGCGTTGGGCGCGAGAGCGGCGGAGGGGGTCGGGGCGAGGCAGGGCTGAGGCGTACGTGCCTACGCCTGGCGCTATGCCACGAGGGGTCGCAGCGCGGCGCGCGGCGCGGCGCGCGGCGCGGCATTGCGGGCCTCGGGGCCTTTGCCTGGCGAAGGCGCCTCGCGCAGCAAGCGCCCCCTCCTCCTCCTCCTCCTCCTCCTCCTCCTCCTCCTCCTCCTCCTCCTCCTCCTCCTCCTCATCCGTCCTCGTCCTCCTCGTCCTCGTCCTCCTCCTCGTCTTCGTCCTCCGTCCTCAGTCCTCCTCCTCCTCCTCCTCCTCCTCCTCCTTCCTGCTTCTCCTCCTCCTCCTCCTCCACCGGCGACGACGGCGATGTCGACGACGACACCAAAGGCGTCGACCAATGCCCCGCCCTCCTTCATCCTCACTCCTCTCTCCTTCTCCCCGCTTCCTCCTCCATCTTGGAGACCGTCGGAGCGAAGCGACGCAGAGTGAAGCCTGCCATCGCGCGTCTGAAGCCGGCGGCCCGTGCTGGTGTCAGGCACACCGTCGCCAGTACCTTAGGAAGGACCAGATGGCACTTATCGAAGACGCCTACGGCGAATCGCCGCCGCCCCCTGCCTTTTGGAATCGCCCATGTGGCCGAGCGTTGTGGCAGGAGCTCTGCCAAGCTATCGGGCCATGTGTTCCCCCAGCCGTTGTAGAAACCCTTTGGGGAACACTTGGGGGAGGATGGCGGGGAAGATGATGATGATGATGATGATGATGATGATGATGATGATGATGATGATGATGATGATGATGATGATGATGATGATGATGATGATGATGATGATGATGATGATGATGATGAGGAGGAGGAGGAGGAGGAGGAGGAGGAGGAGGAGGAGGAGGAGGAGGAGGAGGAGGAGGAGGAGGAGGAGGAGGAGGAGGAGGAGCAGGGGGCGTCTTGGGAGCCTCTGGGGGCAATCTTGGGCATCCTGGGAGCTTCCTGGGAGCCTCTTGGAGGCATCGTAGGGGACTCCTTGGGCCTCTTGGGGGCCTTTGGGGGCTTCTCGGAGGCCTCTTTGGCCGTCTAAGGCATTCCTGGCCCGTCTGACGCCGTCGGAAGCCGTCCTGGGGGCCTCTCTGGGCATATTTGGAGCTCTCTTGGGGTGTTCCAGGGCCGTCTTGGAGGCCATCTTGGGCGTCTTCGAGGCCTGTTGGGCAGTCTTGGGCCCATCTTGGGGCCGGCCGTCTTGGGGGCCTCATGGGCCTTTCTGTGGCCATTTTGAAGGCCTCTTGGGCGATCTTGGAGCGATCTTTGGGGGCTCTGGGGCCGTCTCGGGCTATCTTGGAGCCATTTGTGGCCATCTTGATGGCCTCCTTGCCCGTCTGACGCCCTTGGACGCCGTCTTGAGGTTTCTGGGCCGACTTGGGGCCCTCTTGGGGTGCTCCAGGGCCTTCTTGGAGGCCATCTAGGGCGTCTTGGAGGCCTCTTGGGCCGTCTTGGGTGGGGCCCTCTTGGGGCCGTCCTGGGGGCCTCTCGGGCCGTTCTGCGGCCATCTTGGAGGCCTCTTGGGCGATCTGGGGACGATCTTTGGGGCCTCGTGGGTTGTCTCGGTCCGTCGGAAGGCCGAACATAAGCAAATGCCAACATCCTTCATCAACCTAAGGAACATCAATGATTTTGGTCTCTTCGAGCCTTCCTGGAGGCCCTCTTGGAGGCCTCTTGGGCCGTCTTGGAGACCTCTTGGGGGCCTCTTGGGCCGTCTTCGGCCATCTTGGAGCCATCTTGGGCCATCTTGGTGGCCTCCTGGCCCGTCTGACGCTGTCGGAAGCCGTCTTGAGGGCCTTTTCTGGACCATCTTGGGACCCTCTGGGGGCGCCTCAAGGCCGTCTTGGAGGCCATCTTGGGCGTCTTGGAGGCCTCTTGGGTCGTCTTAGAGCCCTCTTGGGGCCGTCTTGGGAGCCTCTGGGCCCGTCATGAGGCTGTCTTGGAGGCCGTAAGGGCTATCTTGAGACGATCTCGGGGCCTTAGGCCGTTTTGGGCCATCGGAAAGCTCCCCCAAACTTTTAAACACATAAAGGAGCATCAATGATTTTGGCATCTTCGGGCCGCCCTGGAGAACCTCAGGGAAGCCTCTCGGGCTGTCTTGGAGGCCTCTTAGGGGGCCTCTTGGGCCGTCTTGGCCCGTCTTGGGGGCTTTTTCTGTCGGACTTGGAGGTCTCTTGGACCCTCTTGCGTCATCTTGGACGCCACCTTGGACCTCCTGGTCGAACTTGGAAGACATCTTGCCCTCTTGAAGACCATCCTGAGCCGTCTCGGAGGATGTTGTCCATGCATTTGGATCGTCTCGGGGCCGCCTGCGGAGCGGGCCCGCGTGGCCGAAGCCCCGGGAGAGCCCTTGTGGACAAGAGCCACAGCAAAGCCCGTAGGATCCAGCACGCCGGGTACCCCTGCGGCCAGGCAGCAGGGGGCGGCGGATCGAATGGCCGTCGGCCCATCCCGCCACGGTGCCTGGGCTGTGGGTCATACGTAGGCGGCCTCTTGGGGCCTCCTTGGGGCATCGTGGGGGCTTCTTGGGGCGGAAGGCTCCGATTTTCGGTTCGTGTTCCCCCTCTTGGGCCCTTTGGGCCCTCCTGGGTTATCTTGGGCACCTCTGAGGCCGTCTTGGAGCCCTCTCGGGCCGTGTTGGGGCCCCCCTGGGGACCTCTTGGGCCGTCTCGGGGCGGTCCTGAGGGCATCCAGGGCCGTCTTGGAGCGTCGGGACAAAAAAGTCGAAGACCCTACAATCATAGAAAAACAACTTGGCAAATTAATGATTTTGACCTCTCCAGGCCCTCTTGGGAAGGCTCTTGAGGCTCTCTTGGGGCGTCTCGGAGGCCTCTTGGACCGTCTTGGAGCCATCTTGGGCGTCGCGGAGCGGTATTTAGGCGTCTCGGGGCCCTCTTGGATCCTCTTGGGGCCCTCTTGAGGCCCTCTTGGCCCGTCTTGGGGCCCTCTTGTGTCCCAAAAAACGAGGAGACGCGGAAAGCTCTCGGCAGGCGGCGCCAAGCCTCGGGAGATTTGACAATTTGGGGCCTGGGCCCCTTTAAAGACTCCTCGTGATTGAGCGCTGAGGCTTCATGGATTAGGCAAAGGACTTGAGGACACGCCCCCTCCAGAGGCGGGTACATTGTGCGATAAGAGGCGCAGGGGCAGGTTCGTCGTCCATCTAGCGTTTGAGATGGGCCCCAGGGGGGAACCTGAAATCACCGTGGGCCACCCCCATGGGCGGCCGATGTTCGAGAACCTCCCCCTCCCCCTCCCGCCCATCTCCCCCTCTTGATCGCCCAGGAAAGACGTCCCCAGAGGCCTCGCGAGGCCCGCAGTGGGCCAAACATTGCCGGGAGTCTCGGAACACCCCGGTCTTGCTTTTCCCCCTTTACCCCCTCCCGTTCCTCCCTACCTTCTGCTCCTTGTCGGTTTCCTGCTGGGCACCGTCCTGGGAAACGCGCTTCCACGGCGGCGCTCGGGGCACGGGATGCCGCCCCCATCCCACTCCTCGGTCTCCTGCTCCTGCCCCTTCCTGCTGCTGCTCCTCCTCCTCCTCATCATCATCATCAGCAGCAGCAGCAGCAGCGGCGTTATCATCAGCAGCAGCATCATAATCAGCATCATCAGCATCATCATCATCAGCATCATCATCATCAACACCACCATCATCATCATCATCATCATCATCATCATCATCATCAGCAGCAGCAGCAGCAGCAGCATCAGCATCAGCATCATTATTATTAGTATCATCATCAGCATCAGCAGCATCATCATCAGCAGCATCGTCATCACCATGATCATCACCATCAGCATCATCAGCATCATCAGCATCATCAGCATCAGCATCATCATCATCGTTATCACCGTCATCATTACCACCATCATCAACACCATCAGCATCATCAGCAGCATCATCACCACCAGCATCATCATCATTATCATCATCATCAGCAGCATCAGCATCATTAACATCATCATCAGCCTCAGCATCAGCAGCATCATCATCAGCAGCATCATCATCATCATCGTCATCACCATCATCATCACCATCAGCATTATCAGCATCATTATCAGCATCATCAGCATCAGCATCATCATCATCACCATCATCATCATCATTATCACCTTCATCATTACCACCATCATCAACAGCATCATCAGCATCATTATCAGCATCATCACCACCACCAGCAGAATCATCATCAGCATCATCACCATCATCATCATCAGCATCATCATCATCACCATCATCATCATAATCATCATCATCATCATCAGCATCATCATCCGCATCATCATCTTCATTATCATCATCATCTGCCTCAGCATCATCAGCATCATCATCAGCAGCAGCATCATCATCATCATCATCCGCCTCTTCTTCGAAGCTTCTGTTCCTGTTCCCTCCCTCCCTGTTCCTCGCTCCCCCCGATGCCGCCGTCGCGGCGCGCGCGCGTGAGGAGATGTTGGGGAAGGCTTTCCAGGCGGGGGCGCGAGGGGCCCAGCCGATCCCCAGCACCAGTCCTGCGACCAGAGAGGAGGAGGAGAAGGAGGAGGAGGCGGAGGAGGAGGAGGAGGACGAAGATGAGGAGGAGGAGGAGGAGGAGGAGGAGGAGGAGAAGGAGGAGGGGGGGGCGGGGGCGGAGGCGGAGGGGTAAGCGGAGGCGGAGGCGGAGGCGGAGGAGGAGGAGGAGGAGAAAGAATATTAAGAACCATGATATGAGGAAGGGGCAGAGTAAGAAGACGAATAAGAAGAAGACGGAGAAGACGAAGACGCCGAATCCGAAGACGAAGACGACGACGAAAACCAATATTACGAATACCAGTGATAGGAATAAGAAAACGAACCATAAGACTAATAAACATGATACGGATAAGACTAAGAAAGAAACGGCGAAGAGGAGGAGGAGGAGGAGGAAGAGGCGAAGGAGGAGGGGGAGGGGGAGGAGGAGGAGGAGGAGTTGGAGAAGGCGGAGGCGGAGGAGGAGGAGGAGGAGGAGGAAGAGGAAGCGGAGGAGGATGCGAAGAAGCAGCAGCAGCAGCAGCGGCAGCAGCATCAGCGGCGGCAGGCGGGGGAGGGAGGGGAGGGGCGGTAGGGGAGAGGTGGAGTCGGGGGAGGCGACGGAGGAGAAGGAGGAAGACGACGACGACGAATAAAGGCACGGCGTGGGCGCCGCGAGGCAGGGCGCGGCGTGCGGCGCTTTTGCTCGTAGCTCGGACCTCCTTGTGGGGGGCGCTGCCGGGCCTCGGGGTGGAGGGGGAAGAAGGGGGAGTGCGATCAGGGGGTTGAGGGGGACGAAGGGGACGGAGTAGGGTTGAGGAGTGAGGTAAACCACATGCAACACAATAGAGGGAGAGGACGGAGGAGGGTTGAGGGAGGTAGGAGAGAGAGAGAGAGAGAGAGCGCCAGAGAGAGATGGAGGATGGAGAAACAATGGCAAAGAGAGGGAGGTGGGACGAGGAGAAAGGAGGATGAGGATGAGGATGAGGATGAGGAGGTGGACTAGGATCAGGAAGAGAAGGAGGAGACGGAGTTTGGGGGGATGCTCGATCTGCGACGGCCCTGCGTAACATACGCCACCTGAAACGAGCAGGATGAGATGCACGGCCAAAGGAGTCCAGGCCGCGAGGCTGTGGATCTGTTCACGTGTTCCGCACACGAGGGATGAGGACGGGGAGCTGGATGTGAGGTCGTCACCCGCGCGAGCCTGGGCTGAGCTCGCGTCTATGGACCCTCTTGGGCGCCCAGGCGAGCGTGTTTAGCATCGACCGCGAGCGCGAGCTCGAGGAGGACCGCCGCGGGGAGGGGGCGAAAACATCCTCGCGCGGCCCCCGTCACCACCTCCAGTCGGTAAGGGTGTTGTCTCCGCCCCCTGGAACAATGCTCGCGGACGGGTTTGGGAGATTCTCAGATAAGTTTTTTGCGGATTACAAGTTGATTCCTTTTGTGGCGGATTACAATTTGATTCCTTCCGTGGCGGATTACAAGTTGATTCCTTATGTGGCGGATTACAAATTGATTCCTTTTGTTTGTAGCGGGTTACAAATTGATTCCTTATGTGGCGGATTATGATTTGATTTCTTTCGTGGCAGGTTACAAATTGATTCCTTTCGCAGCGGATTACACTTTGATTCCTTTTGTGGCGGATTACAAATGGATTCCTTTTGTGGTGAGCTACAAGTTGATTCCCTTTGTGGCGGATTACAAAGTGATTCCTTTTGTGGCGGATTACAAAATGATTTTTTTTGTGGCGGATTACAAAACGATTATTTTGTGACAAGCCCAGCTGGTATTGACCCAGGTCCCAAAAGAAAAACATTTCCCGGTAAAGCAACCTAACAGCGATGTGTAGGAGCATATCTCGAATCATTCCCCTTAAGATTCAGATGAGAATCCAATTGTAGAATTCTGCTGTTCTCGCAGTCGTAGTCGCATTCGCGATGACAGTCGCGGTGGCAACAGCAGTCGCAGTCACAGCCTCAGCCTCAGCCTGCCTGAGCCTCAGCCTGCCTCAGCCTCAGCCTGCCGCAGCCTCAGCCTCAGCCTGCTTCAGCCTCAGCATCAGTCTGCCTTCAGCCTCGGCCTCAGCCTCAGCCTGCCTCAGCCTCAGCCTGCATCAGCGGCCTCAGCCTCAGCCTGCCTCAGCATCAGCCTGCCTCAGCCTCAGCCTCAGCCTGCCTCTGCCTCAGCCTCAGCCTGCTTCAGCCTCAGCCTCAGTCTGCTGTCGGCCTCGGCCTCAGCCTCAGCCTGCCTCAGCCTCAGCCTGCATCAGCCTCAGCCTCAGCCTCAGCCTGCCTCAGCTCAGCCTGCCTCAGCCTCAGCCTCAGCCTGCCTCAGCCTCAGCCTCAGCCTGCTTCAGCCTCAGCCTCAGTCTGCCTTCAGCCTCGGCCTCAGCCTCAGCCTGCCTCAGCCTCAGCCTGCATCAGCCTCAGCCTCAGCCTCAGCCTGCCTCAGCTCAGCCTGCCTCAGCCTCAGCCTCAGCCTGCCTCAGCCTCAGCCTCAGCCTGCTCAGCCTCAGCCTCAGCCTCAGCCTCATCAGCCTGCCTGGCCTCAGCCTCACTGCCTCAGCCTCAGCCTCAGCCTGCCCTCAGCCTCAGCCTCAGCCTCAGCCTCAGCCTCAGCCTCAGCCTCAGCCTCAGCCTGCCTCAGCCTCAGCCTCAGCCTCAGCCTCAGCCTGCCTCAGCCTCAGCCTCAGCCTGCTTCAGCCTCAGCCTCAGTCTGCCTTCAGCCTCGGCCTCAGCCTCAGCCTGCCTCAGCCTCAGCCTGCATCAGCCTCAGCCTCAGCCTCAGCCTGCCTCAGCATCAGCCTGCCTCAGCCTCAGCCTCAGCCTGCCTCAGCCTCAGCCTCAGCCTGCTTCAGCCTCAGCCTCAGTCTGCCTCAGCCTCGGCCTCAGCCTCAGCCTGCCTCAGCCTCAGCCCATCAGCATCAGCCTCAGCCTCAGCCTCAGCCTGCCTCAGCATCAGCCTGCCTCAGCCTCAGCCTCAGCCTGCCTCAGCCTCAGCCTCAGCCTGCTTCAGCCTCAGCCTCAGTCTGCCTTCAGCCTCGGCCTCAGCCTCAGCCTCAGCCTCAGCATCAGCCTCAGCCTCAGCCTCAGCCTGCCTCAGCATCAGCCTGCCTCAGCCTCAGCCTCAGCCTGCCTCAGCCTCAGCCTCAGCCTCAGCCTGCTTCAGCCTCAGCCTCCTCTGCCTTCAGCCTCGGCCTCAGCCTCAGCCTGCCTCAGCCTCAGCCTGCATCAGCCTCAGCCTCAGCCTCAGCCTGCCTCAGCCTCAGCCTGCCTCAGTTTCAGCTCAGCCTGCCTCAGCCTCAGCCTCAGCCTGCTTCAGCCTCAGCCTCAGTCTGCGTTCAGCCTCGGCCTCAGCCTCAGCCTGCCTCAGCCTCAGCCTGCCTCAGCCTCAGCAGCAGCCTGCCTCAGCATTCAAAATGTGGCCCGGGAGTGAAGTTTTGGGAACTTGAAGAACACGAAGTGGCCTACAGTTGGCTCCGGGCATTCAAAATCATGCCCAGGAATAGAGTTCTGGGAACCTGGCAGACCACGAAGTGGCCTACAGTTGGCTCCGGGCATTCAAAATGTGGCCCGGGAATGAAGTTCTGGGAACTCGAAGAGCACGAAGTGGCCTACAGTTGGCTCCGGGCATTCAAAATGTGCCTCGGGAGTGGAGTTTTGGGAACTCGAAGAACACGAAGTGGCCTACAGCTGGTTCCGGGCATTCAGAATGTGGCCCGGGAATGGAGTTCTGGGAACCTGGCAGACCACGAAGTGGCCTACAGTTGGCTCCGGGCATTCAAAATGTGGCCCGGGAATGGAGTTCTGGGAACTCGAAGAGCACGAAGTGGCCTACAGTTGGTTCCGGGCATTCAAAATGTGGCTCGGGAATGGAGTTTTGGGAACTCGAAGAGCACGAAGTGGCCTACAGTTGGTTCCGGGCATTCAAAATGTGGCTCGGGAATGGACTTTTGGGAACTCGAAGAACACGAAGTGGCCTACAGCTGGTTCCGGGCATTCAGAATGTGGCCCGGGAGTGGAGTTCTGGGACCTCGAAGACCACGAAGTTTGTAACTGTTTGCTTAGAACGACTTCCGCGGATCCCTGTCCGGATGCCGCCCAGACCCCCTCTGGGGAGTCATGATGTTTTTTTTTGTTTTTCTGTTTTACAAGAAACTTATCAATCTTTGCTGTTAAGTAACAATAGTAATAATAATGATAAACAATAAATCATTGGAAATGGCTGAAATTATGCGGCTCTCAATCGTTTTTTTATGTTTGGGGAAAAAACGTATAAAAACACAGCATTGCCCACCTCCTAGGAGCCCAAACCATATACAACACAGCATTTGGGAGACCTGATGTTTGAACATGTTGTGTTTTATATTGTTTGGGCTCCCAGGAGGTAGGACATGCTGTGGTTTTAAATGGCTTTGGTCCCCAACCTCAAAAACGATTGGGAGTAGTATAAGTTCAACAACTTTCAATGATTTATTGCTTTTTTTGTTTTGGGGACATGGGTCACTACCAGCTGGGCGTGCCACAAAAGTAATCAATTTGTAATTCGCCACAGAAAATTCCTTACGTAATCCGCAACAAAAGGAATCAATTTGTAATCCGCCACAAAAGGAATCAATCTGTAATCCGCCACAAAAGGAGTCCATGTGTAATCCACCACGAAGGGAGTTAATTTGCAATCCGCTACAAAAGGAATCCATTTGTAATCCGCCACACGAGGAATCAATTTGTAATCCGCCACAAAAGGAATCAACTTATAACCCGCCACAACAGAATTCCATTTGTAATCCGCCACAAAAGGAATTAATTTGTAATCCGCCACAAACAAAATTAATGTGTAATTCGCCACAAAAGGAATCAATTTGTAATTCACCACAAAAGGAATTTATTTGACATCCGCCACAAAAAGGAATCATTTTGAAAAATCCGCCACAAACAAAAATAAGTTGTAGTTCGCCACGAAAGGAATCTATTTGTAATCCAACACAAATGGAATCAATTCATACTTTGGCACTGAAGGAATCAATTTGTAATCCGCCACAAAAGGAAACTTTATGTAGGGAGGGGATGCACATGGTGGGTCAATCGCTACTAGGGTTCTATGAGAGGTGGATCCATCTCTTATCGGGTTCTATTAGATGTGGATCCATATGTAATGGGATTCTCTTAGAGGTGGATCCATCGCTAATAGGACTCCACTAGAGGTGGATCTATGTCATATAGGATCGCACTACAGGCGAATCCATATCTAATCGGATTCCATTAGAAGTGGACCCGTCCCTAAAAGGATTCTATTAGACGTGGACCCATCCCGAAAAGAATTAGAAGTGGGTCCATATGCAATAGGGTTCCATTTGAGGTGGATCCATCTCTAATAGGATTCTATTAGAGGCGGACCCATCCCGAAAAAGATTCAATCAGAGGTGGATCCATCTGTAGTAGGATTCTAGTAGAGGTGGATCCATGTGTAGCAGGATTCTATTCGAGGTGGACCCATCTCTGTTAGGATCCCGTTTGAAGTGGGCCCGTTTGTGATAGGTGTTCATTTGAGGTGGGCCCCTCTCCCATAGGATTCCATTAGCTGTGGACGCAGCTGTAGTCGGATTCCATTAGAGATGGATCCATCTGTAACAGGATTATATTAGATGTGGTTCCATCCGCAATGGGATTCTATTAGGGGTGGACCCATCTGTATCAGGATGCTATTAGAGGTGGACCCATATGTGGTAGGATTGAATTTGGGGTGGACCCGCTTGTAATAGGATCGTATGAGAGGTGGATCCATATGTAATAGAAGTTCATTAGAGGTGGACCCATGTGTTGTAGGACCCCATCAGAGGTAGGTGGGTCAATCCCCAATAGGATTCTATGACAGGTGGTCCATATGTAATAGGAATAGATTAGGGGAGTGTCCATCTGTCATAGGGTTCTGTTAGAGATGGATCCATCCGCGCTCGGATTTCGTTAGAGGTGGATTGATTTCTAATCGGATTCTATCAGAGGCGAATCCATCTTTAATAGGTTTACATTCGAGGTGGATCCATGTGTAATAGGATTCCGTTAGAGGTGGACCAATCTCTAATTGGATTCTATCAGAGGTGGATCCATCGCTGACAGGATTCTATTACAGGTGGATCCATATGTAATGGGATTGTATCAGACGTGGGCTCATCTGTAAAAGGATTCTATTAGAGGTGGATCCACCCGTAGCAGGATTCCATTCGAGGTGATCCATCTCTGATGGGATGCCATTAGTTGTAGACCCATCTCTAATGGGATTCTATTAGAGGTGGATCCATAGGTCATAGGATTATATTCGAGGTGGTTCCTTCTGTAGTGGGATTGTATTAGGGGGATAAATTCCGAATCGGATTTTATGGAAGGTGGATCCATATGTAGTAGGATTATATGTGAGGTGGATCCATCTGTAATACGATTCTATGAGAAGTGGATCCATCTGTAATGCGGTTCTATTCGAGGTCGATCCATGCGTTTTAAGATTCTACCAGAGGTGGATGCATCTGCACAAAAAATCCATTCGAGGTGGGCCCATCTCTAATAGGATCCCAGTAGAGGCGGATCCATTTCTAATCTGATTCCACCCTGCTACTCCACGGGAAAATCGGTGCAAAACGTCATGTTCCAGGGGGCTGAGACAAAACCTCCACGGTCGAGGCGTCTTTGGACGGAACTTTATCGGATGGGGCTGGGGCTGCAGCGCTCCCGAGCAGCGCCTCGCCCTACGAATTCCAGCGGTTGTCGAGCGCTGCGCCCGCAGAGCCGCTCCTTGGGGGCTGGGGGGTCACCTGTCTCCCTCGCCAGTGGTGCATTGCGCGCGCACGCGCTCGAGGACGCTGCCCCTCTTCCTCCGCCTCCCCCCTCCCCTCCTCCCCCGCTCCCTTCCTCTTCCCCCCCTGCTGCCTCGGTGCTTGCACAGGCGGAGAGTCTCTTCCCCGTGGCACCAGTGGGAAAAAAAAGAGACCTCGAGAAAAGGGAACTTGGTTCCTTATTGAAGGGTTCCTCCTAGAAAGGCTTTTGAGTGTGCCCGCGCCTGGTCTTTCCCGCCCACCGAGGAGGAGGAGGAGGAGGAGGAGGAGGAGGAGGAGGAGGAGGAGGAGGAGAAGAAAGAGAAGAAAGAGGAGGAGGAGGAGGAGGAGGAGGAGGAGGACAGAGGAGGAGGAGGAGGAGGAGGAGGAGGAGGAGGAGGAGGAGGCAGCCCCGTCCACCCCCACCCTCCCGCCTCCGATTGGTTCTGCCATGCAGAGCACTGGCCGCGGCTCTCGCTCTGGTGCCCCTTTCGGTCATGGCGAGCCGTTTTCCTGGTCAGCCGCCCACCTTTTCATTGACCTCCCCCCCCTTACCCTCCATCTCCCCCCCCTTCATTATTTGGCCCTTGACTGCGAAGGGTTGTGCGTCTGGCCTCCCCTGGCACTCCTGAGAGGCCTCGTGCGAGCCTCTCTCGCCACCTCTGGGGACCTCTGCGGGCGTGTCGGGCCCCGTGAACCGTCCCTCTCGCGGGCGGCGATCGCTGCCCCTCTGGCCACCAGTCGGGTGGGTCCCGTTGGCAGGCGCAGGCGGGGGGCCTTGCGGCCGGCTTGAGGGGTCTATTCGCCATTTGTGTTGTGGGGGGGGGGGCGTCTTGGGTCGGTCCTCGGCTGTCCCGGTGCCGCCCGGGGGCCTGTTTGTGGGCGCCCGCAGGCGCAATGTGATTGGGGCTCGTACGTACATGTGCATGTCTGATCATTGGCTTGTGGAAGTCGATCAGTGGAGAGGGGGCATGCTGCCAAATAACTTCCAGATGGCTACAGCATGTTCTGATCATGTCTAGACACGTGTTTGAAGATACGTTTGGTGCAAGGTTGCCAGGGTATCAAAGCAGAGCGCTAGGCGAACGAAAGGTCCCTTCCGCGACCTGCGTGGAGTTTTTTGTCTGGCGGGAAGAAAAAGGCGAAACACGACGCAGACACGTGGCGCCAGACGTGGGTGTGGATGGACCTGTCGTTTCGATGTCCTCGGCATCGGCCCGCGAACAGCGGCATGCCGCGCACGTCAGCAGCAGGAGAGCGTCCGACGCACATTATTCTCTGAGAAGCAGGCTGGCAGACAGTTGTCGGTCCGAGCCTGGTCTCCAGCAGCACCGCGGCTCCGTTTCCCGAGGGGGCGCGGGGAACGAAGCACAGCCAGCAGTCAGCCAAGCCGGCGGACAGGACGGCAGGAGGGAGGAGGGCCCTCGGGAAGGTTGGGAGAGAGGCCCTCAGGAAGGCCGGGCCCCACTGGAAGGCAGGGCCCTCGGGAAGGCCAGGCCCCTCAGGGAGGGCTTATCCTCTTGACCTTCCAGGAGGGATAATCCTCCTCCTCCTCCTCCTCCTCCTCCTCCTGGAGGAGGGCCCTCGGGAGCCGCGCCCTCGTCGCCGTCGCTGCCCTCCCACGGGAAGCCCCGACCCCCCGGGCCTCGCAGGCCCGCCCAGAACGTTGGAGAACCCTTGAGGCAACCGGCCCTCGTCGCCCAAGTCACGCTGCCACCCTCGCCTTATGATGTTCCAACCTACTTTATCCTTGGTCACCAGAAAGAATGTCGAGCACCAGAAAAACGTACCGAAAGTCTTGGATTTTCACGTGTCGGGCCCTGGGAAACACTAGTCCGACACCGTTTCGACACTCTTTCGACACTTTTCTGGGTGCTCGAACTTATTTCTGGGATGTGGTCCTTAAGTACGGTGGGGACAACATAACCCTCGTCGCCGTCGTTGCCACCCGCCTGGGCAGGACCGAGCCTCCCCAAAAGCACATTGCAAAGGGTAGGACCGCGTCGTCTCCACTGGCGGCGACCCCGCCGCCCGCGTTCAATTGAGCGCCGCCGGCGACCCAGAATCGGTCGATGTTGAACGATCTGACGTTTCGTAAAGGGCCGATCGTTCAAGGTTGAACGATCCCGGCGGTGTCAGGAACCGCCGCCTGGGTCGACACGACACGAACCCGCGCTAGAACCCCTGAGGGAACCCGCCTGCACACTACCACCCAAGACCGACCCCCCCCTAACACACACACACACACTACATGGGATATAGTAGGTACGCCAAGTGAAGAATTTGCCTGCCAACATGTTCCCACATGCTCCCTGTCTAATTCCTGGTCGTCCCTGGACGCGTTGGATGTATGGGGACATCCGCCATGTCCAAGGTCGACCAAACAACGTGCCCCCAGACTATTTGCAGCAAGACTCCTTTCAGTGCGCATTAACTGTAGGACCGCCAAGAACCGCCTCCCACCCCCTCAGCCCTTCTGATGGGCAGAGCAGAGACAGCCGCAACCGCTGGGCTGAAGGAAGCGAGCCTGGCCCACGCCCAAAAGGCCGACAGCGACGACGCACCAGCGGTGAGCCGACGACCCGCGCGCGGTACTCGAGATCTGGCACCGCGCGCGTGTCAGCGCCGCTAGAGGGTCGGGTTCGTCCTCGAGGGAGCGCAAGGTCGTCGTCGTCGTCGTCGTCGTCGTGGTCGTGGTCGTGGGTGTCGTCGTCGTGGGCGGCTCCTTCGAGGCTCGGGGCCGGCCCTCGCGTCCTGTGATGATCTTGGGCGGGGCCCAGCACCAGCATCATTCCTCTTCTGTCCATGCTTAAGTCGGACCTTCCTCCTCCTCCTCCTCCTCCTCCTCCTCCTCCTCCTTCATCCCACCCCCCTCCTCCTCCTCCTCCTGCTCCTCCTCCTCCATTCCTCCCCCCTCCTCCTCCTCCTCCTCCCCCCTCCTCCTCCTCCTCCTCCTCCTCCTCCTCTTCCTCCTCCTCTTCCTCCTTCTCCTCTTCCTCGTTCTCCTCCTCCTCCTCCTCCGCCTCCTCCTACCCCTCCTCCTCCTCCTCCTCCAGACCCGTAAGCCTCTGGCTCCCACCAGACCGCCTGCCCCTGCTTTGTGCGCCCTGTTCTCCTCCGAGCACTGCTTAGACTTCGACGGACATAGGTGCACTAGGTGCAACAACTCGGCCAGTAAGAGCTCGAGAATCCAGTGGCTTCAGACTGAATGCTATGACCGTGTAAATGTTGATGGCATTTTTATGAGGCCCCCCCCCTCGGGAAGCAGGTTCATTCATGTGGCGGGGGGCTTTGTTCACGTTTTCCATCGGATGAGGTTCCACGCTTGGCTTAAATTAGGGTTTGTTCTCACTGCTGGTGCCGACTCCTCGGCAAATTGGGGGACCCTTGTGCTGATCCCACACCCAAGGGCAGGGAGCACCGACGTAGAATACATGCCAACCTCTGGCCCAAAGTCCTCAGTCGAGCTGAGCGTGCCCAGAGGAGCAAAGCAACCCGCAAATAGGTTGCAGCGGCCCGCTTTAATCCACATCGCCACGCGATTAAGCAATAGTCCCCAACAGTGTCCTCCTCTTCCCCCTCCTCGTCATACCTCCTCTTTGTCCCCCTCCTCCTGCTCCTCCTCCTCCTCCTCCTCCTTCTCCTCCTCTCCCTCCTCCTCCTCCTCCTCCTCCTCCTCCTCCTCCTCCTCCTGCTCCTCCTCCTCCTCCTCCCCCTCCGTCCCCCTCCTCCTCGCTCCTCCCCCCTCACTCTTCATCCATGCATTTCCGTCCTCCCTGCTCCCTCCTCTTCGTACCTCCTTCTCCCTCCTCCTTCCTCCTCTGCCCTCCCATCTGAGCCCCCCCCCTGCACGGAGGCGGCCAAGGCGGTCGAGGCGCCCAGCGGTCCCGCCGCTCCCTTTCTGCCCACTCCGCGGCACCACTCTCCTGGTCGCCCACTTCAGAGTGTGCCCCTCCCACACATTTTTATCCTCCTCGTTATTGTCCTCCTCCGTCTGCCCTTCCTTCCTCCCCTATATCCCCCGCGTGCCTGCCCCGTACCTCCTCTTCTTGCTCATCGTCGTCATCCTCCTCCTTTCCTCGTCTTCATGTTTCCATCCTTTTCCTCTGTGTCATCGTTCTCTTTCTTGTCCACCAATGTCGAAGCACTGCGTGCAGTTGGACTCACGCCGGTGCGTTGATGTTGGTGTTTGCCTGCGTTGTGAAGCAGATCGGGCCCCCCAGCCGACCAACCGGCTGCAGTGGTTCGGATGTTGGTGGGGCAAGAGCGTTGTGAGGACATCCACAATTACTTCAAGCTGCACACCGGCACTCGCTTGTTTGGCCCAGCGTTTTTTCCGACACTTTCTGAGAAGCAGACTCAGTTGTTGACCTTTTACGGGTCTGTACGCAGGGCTGGCCTCGCTGACTCTTAAGATCTCACCAGAAATTGGGCCGGTTGCGACGTGGGGCCCTTCAGCACATGGCCCACACCAACAGCCCTGAATCCGATTCAATTGACATCTATCTCTTCAGCGGTCCACCGCTGGCTTCCGCCAGTGCTCCCGGTGCTTCGATGCCGAGGCCCTTTCCAGGCGCGCCCTGAATGTCGCCGCGCCGTTTGTTCCGACGCGCAGCCTTCGTCTCGGGGCGAGTGTCTCGGCCACCGGGGCAAACGCCGCCTCGGGCGCGGTGGGTGTGCCGTGGGCTTGCCGCGGCGCCTGCCTCGTCTGCCTGGGGCGTGGGGCGCAGGACTTGCCGTGGGTCTGCCGTGGCGTCGCCGTCGTCCAGCTGGGCGCGTCGAAGACGAACGGCGCGGCGACACGTGTACCCACCCGAGCAATACAGCAGAACGGGGTCGACGCAGGCATCCCCGAGCTCGCGCGCAGGCGCCCGTTCGTTCTCCCCCCGGCGTGCCGCGCAGGCGGCCCACGGAGGCCGCAGCCCGAGGTCGCCGCGGCGCCGTGCGCGAGGGGCCCCTTGCTGCCGGGAGCGGAGGCAGGACGTGCACGCACACGGGTCCGCGCTGTTTTCGATAGCGCGCATTGCGCGCACGCTCGTGTCACGCGGTCGGTCTCGCAGATTGGGGCGGCCCGCGTTCCTGTGCGTGGCTGGGCGCGTACGTCCTGTGTGGGTTCCTTATCCTTCCCGCCGCCCAGATGGCGCGACGCCCACCGTGTGGTGCGGACGGCTGCGCAGGTTCGCGCAACGACTGCCCTTCCAGTGCTTGGCCTGGCCGTGGCAGCGGGCGCGGGCGACTCGCCCGTCTCGGGATCCACGGGAGAAGCTTTCTGGTGCGGGCGGGCCTGTACCAATTTCGCCATGAAGTCAAATGGGACACGCCCGTCGTTGAAAGTAGGCACTGACGGCCTTCGCCCTTCATCCCGCCACCGTGCCTTGGAGGCCTCTTGGGCCGTCTGTGGGCCATCTTGAGCGTCTTGGAGCGATCGTTCGGCGACCCGGGTCCCTCTGGGACGGACCGTCTTGCGGGCCTTTTGGGGCCTTCTTGGCCCGTCTTGGGTCCCTCTTGGGTCCGGAAAAAAGTCACGCGGGGGCACTTGGCAGGGCCCAGGGGAACCGCAACAGGCCTCAAGAGATTTGGGCCGAGGGGCTCCAAACCCCTTTTGAGAACTCCGCAGGAGTGACGACTGATCTGAAGACACGCCTACTCCGTGCCCAGAGGCACGGTGGCGGATTACTGGATTCCCAGATCCCAATCTATTGTAAGCACCTTCCTAGTTCAATCATCGAGCGCTTTTCCGTTCTCTTCAGGGGGCGGGCGAAACCCAATCTACCTCCAACGCTTCCCTACTTCATGGTTCTGCCTACTTCTTCCGACCGACGGGTACTTGGGGAAGTGGGTCATGTTGGATGTAGTTGCTGTTCCGACTTCCGGGGCTCTCCCCCAGGGCCCCAGGTTCGTCAAGAAACGATTCGGGATTGACCGGTGGACCTAGGGAAAGCCCCGTGGTCCAAGACCCGTTTCCCCGTTTCCTTCAGGACCCTTCTCCCCATTCCAAAGGGGGGAGGTTGTCTTCTCGTTCTTGTAAGTGCACCTTCGTTGTACGTGAATCACGTTGTTCAGGAAATGCTGCGCGGTTTTCTTTGTAGAATAGGAGACCCTGTTTCTTGTAATGTGTCGCAGAGATCCCCACATGTGAATACTTATGTAGCTTGCCCTTTCTAGGAACGCCTACGGGCCTGATTGCCGAGTAAGTTTTCGTGCGTGTGTGTGTGTGTGTGTGTGTTCGCATTGGTATGTTTGGCGGAGTATCGGCGGATGTCTGCGTCATTGGATCTGAGTGTGTGCGGGCGTGAATGTGAGTGAGCGCGATTGCCAGGGGGCCTGAGCATGACTTGTCTTGAGGTTGAATGAGTCGGACGTTAAGCCGAGGAGTACGCGTGGCTGATTATGAGCGGACCTAAGTGCGCACGGGTGAGTACGCGTGAGTCCGAGCACGAGCGAGTTTGAGCACGAGATAGTCTGAGCACGAGTGGCTGAGTATGAGTGGGCATGAGTGTGAGTGCGGGTGCACTTGAGTACGAACGGGCATTTCGATGCGTGACTGGATTGGAGCGAGTCAGTGTTTGAGCGAAACTGGATACGAGTGAGTTTGGGTTTGGAAGGCTCATTATGAATGGGCCCTGTAAGTGAGTGGGTACGGGTGGCCTTCCGTGTGAGTGAACGAGTCCAGGCATAGTGACTAAGCACCAGTGGAGATGAACACGAACTGGCCTGAGTACGAGCGTATACCAGTATTAGTGGGTCCATGCATGAGTGAGGGCATCCTGTGGCTTCCTTCGGCTTGGGCTGTCCTTTGCATTCTTGGCCCTCCTAGAGTGTCTTGGGGCCTCTAGGCCTTCCTGGGGCCATCTGGGACCTCCTGGGGCATCGTGTGGCATTCTGGGGCTTCCCCTGGCTTCTTGGGGTATCTTTTGGCCTCCTTAGGTTTCTCTGGCGTTCATGGGGTTTGGGGGTATCATGGAGCCTCTCGGGACGTCCTGGGGGCGCCGTGAGGTTTCCTGGGGCCTCCTGCTGGGGCCTCGTGCGATTATAAAGATGAGGAGGAGGAGGAGGAGGAGGAGGAGGAGGAGGAGAATAAAGGAAAAACGAGGGAGCCCGAGAGAGGAGGAAGGCACATCGGGGATGCCCGAGTGCCACATCGCGGCATCTATGGGACTCTGAGGCTCTGAAGAAGGCGCGCCTCTCCCCCCTTCATCAACAAATGCTTGGCGAAGGACCCAACCATGTGCAGCTGCGAGTAGCGCAGGGCGCGGCTCTCTCCTCATGGGCAGCGCGCCGCGAAGGGGACGAAGCTCGGGGCAGTGCGGATGGGAGGCGGCGGACCAGGCGCGGAGAGGCGAGCTGAGCTTCCTGCGGTGCGCGATCCTGCTGGAAAGAGCGCCGACATGGATTTTGGGCCGGATTCGTGGGCTCACACTGCGACCCGAGGTGGAGCTCCCAATGAGGCCACGATCCTCGTGAGGGGTGCACCGACATGGGTGGCGCTGGCATGCGAACTGGCACACCGGGGCCACATGTTGAGCTTCCCGTGGGGGCCAGGCGGGGCCGCACGTGGACCCTCGCGCTGCGGGCCGCGTTTGGAGGTCCATGCGGGGTCGCAGTCCTCGCGAGCTGTGTGCCGAAACGGGGGCGGCGCGGCCCCGGCAGACTTCCCCACGGGGTCCTCGTGAGGGGGCACGGTGTTCGCGAGAGTTGCACCGAAATTGGCGCGGTGCCGCCACGCGCCTGGGCCTGCTGAGGCCACAGGCGGAGCTCCCCGTGGGGAATTGGCGCGGTGCTGCCACGTGTCTGCGTGCACTGCTTCCGCAGGTGGAGCTTCCTATGGGGCCGCTATCCTTGAGACGTGTGCTGCCGTGGGCGCCGTGTCACCATGCGCCTGCGCCCGCTGAGGCCGCAGGTGCAGCTCACTGTCGGGCCCCTGTCCTCGAGCCGGAATGGGCGCGGTGCCGCCAGGCGTCTGCGCCCACTGAAGCCGCAGGTGGAGCGTCCTGTGAGGCCATGGTCCCCGCGAGGGGCGAGTCGAGATCGGCGCGGTCCTCGCGTGCGTCTGCGCCCACTGAGAGACCGCAGCTGGAGTTCCTTACTCGGCCACGATCCTCGCGATTGGTATGGGGCGCGGTGCCGCCATGCGCCCGCGCCCACTGAGACCGCAAGGTGAGCAACCTGCGGCACCACGCTCCTCGTGAGAGGTGTGCTGCCGAAGTGGGCGCGGTGTTGCCATGCGTTTGCGCCCGCTGAGGCCGAGGGTGGAGCTCGCTACGGGGGTGCGATCTTCGTGAGGTGTGTGCCGAAATGGATGCGGTGCCGCCATGCCTTTGCACCCACTGAGGTGGTAGGTGTAGCTCCCTGTCGGGCTACGAAGCCTGTGAGGAGTGTGCCGAAGTGAGCAAGCTGCATGGAGGGGAGCAGGACGGAGCGAGGAGGAGGAAGGAGGACGCGGCGCGCTACGGACTCACAACGAGGATCAAATGCAACATAGGAGGACAAAGTATGAACAAGTTTGAGTAGGAGTCTGAGCGTGGGCCATAGGGGTGATTGTATGCGGGTGAGGCAGGGGAAAAGGTGCTCAGTAGAAGTGATTGGGCGAGGCGATAAAGGCATGTTTCGAGGTGGAATGATCAAAAAACGGCAGGTGGATGCGTGCCGCTAAGCAAGAGCCCTATACTCAGGATATGGGGTGAGACTCTTGGAGCTCGACCCTCTGTCTCCCCACTCTTCACTACCCCCTCTTTGGAACTCTCCACGACCAACTGGAACTAACCCAGCGCCGGTTTCAACTTCCGCCAAAGGGCTTTCCTCCCGTGCCCCCTCAGACCCCCTCCTCGTCCTGCCTCCGAACCTACAGTCGTGTCAAAATCGGCGCCCAGATCCCTCTTGGGCTCCATCTCCGCCAGCTTCCCATCCCCTATCGATGTTCTGATGACCCCAGGGCCCGAGACGGTTCGACGCCCCCCCGCTCTCTCCCCCTCAACCCTTTCACCCCTCCTCGGAACAGTTCGGCCGGCGCTCAGGAGGGGAAGGAGGAGGAGGAGGAGGAGGAGGAGGCTGAGGAGGAGGAGGAGGGAGGATATGCAATCTACATGGATTGAAGCCCGCTCAACTCAAAAAGGCGGGGGTAGGTGGGAGAGAGGCAGGAGGGGTAGAAGGGAAGAGCTGGAGGGGGAGAGGGAGCAGGAGGAGCGAGGAGAGGAGAGGGGAGGTGAGGTGGAAGAGGGGGGAGAGGTGGAGGAGGGAGGGGGGAGGGACCACCTAGGTGCGCTCGCGTCATATCTGACGTCCTACCCTTCCCTCCCATCCCTTACCATGGCGTAGATATCCTCTCTATTCGCACAATCGGATGTCGAGCAGAGCAATGGTCGCGAGAGGATACGCGATGCATGGTAGAGTACGGCATGGCATGGCGTAGAAGAGCACGGCAGAGCGGAGCATGCCATAGCATTGCGCGGTATTGCGCAGTGAAGCACTGCATCGCAAAGCATTGCAACGCAAAGCATGGCATCGCACAGCGGCGCAGAACGCAACACCGCACAGCATGTCATGGCATGGCGCCGGGTTCCTTGGAGGGTAAATGTATCGTCTTCGAGTTGTCTGGGCCAGTGGCTCCCCGAGCAGCTCCACACAAGGCGAGGCTGGTGGAGAGCACCCGCTGGCTCTGCTTTCAACATCGCCTTCTCAAAGCAGATACGGGGCCCCCGCTTGATACTTCCTGAAAACGACGACGCCCCAAAGTGGGGGAGGGGGGCGTCTGCGGCCCAAAAAACCAACGAATCGACACCGAGTGTATAATCATTTTCGATGGTTTTTCGGGGGGCATCTTTCAAATTTTGGGGCCTATTTGGAAGAACCCACAAACGCCCGCTCTGCAGCGGGAGCACGTTTTGGAACAACAAGAGGCGCAAAAACCCAAGCGAAAACCCATTTCCCCGGAATCCTGTGTAAAAAACACGACGCGGAGGGTGGCCGGACGTCACCAGGGGAGAGAGGAGAGTCATATTCCTATTGTATAACTATAGGGGTGGAGGGCAGGAGCGAGGGAGGGCGGAGCTTGGCGCGCCCTCGCCTTCCGGTGCGGCAGGCGCCCCCAGAGAGGCCGCGCAAGGCCCCCCCCCTGCGAGCACGCTCCCTCGGCGCACCGTAGCTGCTGCTGCTGCTGCTGCTGCTGCTGCTGCTGCTGCTGCTGCTGCTCTCGCAGCAGCGGGGCCGCTGCACAAACAGATCGTCGGGGAACTCGTCTGCTTGAATCGTCGCGGAGCCCCCTGCTGCTCGGCTGGAGGCTCCTTGCTGAGGGGGCGGGTTGGGGCCCTCCTGCTGCGCCCTCGGGGCCACGGGCTGGCAGGGTCGAGGCCGGAGGCTCCTTGCTGAGGGGGCGGGTTGGGGGCCCTCCTGCTGCGCCCTCGGGGCCACGGGCTGGGTTCCCCATGGGACCCTGACCATGGAGGGTGTCGGCGTAGTCGAAGTCGGGCCTCCGGGGCCCCAGGCTCTCTCGCATCCTGGACAGATCACGGCGGAGATCTGGCGTCGGTTTCAGCCTCCGGGGACCATTTCCAGCTCGCTGCAGACAAGGGGCCCCAGACGTTCTCGCATCTTGAACAGGTCACGACGGAGTTGTGTCGCCGTCATGTGATCTTCAACAGCGCATCCCTCTTCATCGTCAACGTCGCCACCCTTCCCTTATTTGCACTCACCTTCCTCATCACCCTGATAGCCTGCATTACCCTAATCCTCCTGTATGCGCATCGTCCTCACATATCATCCCCGTTACCAGTGTCCCCGTGGACCTCATCGCGCAATCATCCTCCTCGTCGTCGTTCTCTCCCCTGCGCATCCCCCTTCCCCGTCTCCCATCTCTCACTCCCCATACGGTTTACTCGTTCCACCTCTCCACCTCATCCCCTATCAGTATCCTCCACGCTCTCCTTCCAGGATCCCGCCCTCGACTCCTCCATTATCGTCGGTCTCCTGCCTGGTCCGCTTCTGCAGTACTTGTCCCTCTCCTCTCCGCTTGCTGGTCCTCCTCCGTCCTCCCTTCTCTTTCCTCCCTCTCTTGTTCTGCTCTGCCTTCACCTCTTCTTACTCATCCTCACCCGTATTGCTCATCGCCTCCCTCTCATGATCTTTCTCACCCTCGCCTCTTCCTCCTCCTCACTCGTCCTCTTTCCCCCTTCGTCTCCCTCATCCATCCCCGACCTCTCTTCTCCCTGCTCTGCCTCCCCCCCGTTCTCCTTCATCCTCTCCTTTCTCGCTCTCACCCTCTTCCTCGCTCCCTTCCTCACAGGCCAGGGAGGCCGGGGCTCTTGGGGCCAGCACCCTCCCTTCGCCCTTCCTCTCCCATCCAGCCAGAATTGCGTTCCTCCTTGATGAGGTGTTCCATCTCGGACTGTACGTGCATGGTTCCGGGGCACCAAGCGGGCTTCCGCAAGCCCCAAATAGCGAGCATAACGCATTCGAGCATTCTTTCCTTCTCCTCCGTCTCAGGCGCCCGAGAATTTGTCTCGCAGCGTGGATCCCCTGAAGTCTCGATCCATTCTCTGGGACCGGTTTCTCTTCCGACGTCGCATGTTGCGGGAATTGGGCGAAATTTGCAAGAGCGTCTTCTCACGATTTTGTCACGATGCGAGGGGATGTGGCTTTCGGATGATGACTCTGGCCTGCAGAGTTGCCGTTCGAGACGGCCCGTGCACTCCGAGAATGCTTGCAGCGAGGCGCAGCTGCTAGAAAGCATCCCGCGGCGGAGAAAATCCAAGAATTGATGAAAGCTCGCGAGACAATCACGGACCGACGCGAAGTGAGGGAGTCTGGGCCCGCGCGCTTGGCCCTTCCCTCCCCGCCCTTGCTCCTTCCCTCCCCCCCCACCCCTGCCCCTCCTCCTTGCCCCTTGCCCCTCCCCTAGCCTTTCCCTTGCCCATCCCCGAGGTCCCTCCTCCCGCTTGCCCCTTCCCTTGCCCCTCCTGCCCGTCCCCCCCTCCGCCGCCCGCCTCCGCCTCCCAGCGGCCGCCGCCCTGCCCCCGGAGGCTGCCCTGGAGGCGGCCAGGCTGGAGAAGCCGAAGGCGCCGGCGCGCGCACCCGCCTTCCATGCCGAGGGCGTTGTCCTCGTCGTCGCCGCCGGCGCCGGCGCCCGTCGTCGTCGTCGTCGTCGTCGTCGTCGTCGTCGTCGTCGTTGTCGTCGTCGTCGTCGTCGTCGTCGTCGTCGTCGTCGCCGCCGCCAGCGTGGTCGTTGTCGTCGTCGTCGTCGTCGTCGCCGCCGCCAGCGTGGTCGTTGTCGTCGTCCTCCGCCGCCAGCGGGGACGGATGGCGGCGGCGGCGGCGCTGGCGCTGGTGGCGACAAGATGCTCCGCGCGGCATCTGCTTTTCCGCTCGTCCTGCAACTGGGTCTGGTCAGCACGTCAACCCTGCAAAATCGGGGGGGCCCTTATTGTGCCCTGTCTATCGCGTTTCTGGCCCCCTTCATGTCAGGAACGCAGTGTATCAGAAGAGACTTGTCCCCTCTCGGGCGTCCTGTGCCATCAGTTCCGACTGTGCTTGTTTCTCCCCATCCTGTTCCCCTTCGCTACCGCTCGCGCGACGCGGGAGCGCGAGGGTGTTCTGTGCACCCCCGATGTCCCTGACAGCGACGCCACCGCCATGCGGAAGCGCCACTGCCATGCGGAAACGCCAGACCCAGCGGCGCTCGGCCTTCTCCGTGTCGCGGGTGCGGTGCCCACTTGCGTTGCCGCGAGTGTCCGTCACCGCGTCGCGATCAGTAATGTTGATTGACGGTTTACTCCGTCGCGCAGCACAGGCAACAACTCGGAGCAGCAAGTAGGAGCGTGTTGGGCTTGTACGCCCCAACTGCTGCAGCACGTTTTTTCGTTGCGGAAAGCGCCTCTTTGAAAGACGGGCGCCCTATGGCCCTGCTATCGAGGCGAGGGCCCCGCTTGAACAAGGAGCCGCCTCCCTCCTGCTAGCCATCAGAACTGTAGGACCAGAAGCCATGAGTTTCCAGGAAGTGCCCCAGCGAGCGCTACGTGCTGAGAAGGAACCGCCCTCCACCAATGCCTGCGCTGCCCGCCTGCATCGCTCGGGTCACAGAGCGCCAGGGACTCGCAGGTGAGAGGCACATCGTGGAGAAGAGCCGCCCTCCATCCCTCCCTCCGCGCAGCGCAGCTGACAACGCATCGCAAGCGATAGCGCCATGTTGAAAAGGAAACACCCTCCACCTGTGCAGCTGTTGGACAAGTGGTGCACGAATGTACACCGCGTTCGCACGAGAGTCACAGTTTGCATAAGGCCCGTGGCCCACGGGTGTATTGACCCGCCTTGCTCACATGTCTCGTGGCGCGACGGTGAGTCAATTATCCAGCTACCTGCGACAGAACCGGCCACCGTGCCTGTGCAACAGCGCAGCAGGAATGAGGCTGAATCTAGGAACAGCGAAATTCCGATGAGTCATTTGAACTGAGACGGGTCGTGAATTCAACCTCGTCTTCGACCGCGCGGTACCAAGGAGATCGAGTTCACGCCCCGCTGCAGTCAAGCGATCCGTCTGAACTTGGACGGGTCGTGAACTCGACCTCATCTTCGTCCACGCTGTAGGAAGGTCGTCGTTTTCACGCCCCGTTGCAATTCAGCGAGTGGTCTGAATTGGAACGGGTCGTTCAGTCAACTTCGTCTTCGCCCGCGTGGTGTGAAAGTTCAAATTCACGCCCCGCTGCAGGTCAGTGGTCTGTCTGAACTGAGGAGGGTCGTGAACTCGACCTCGACATGGTCCGCGCGGTTGGGGGCTCTGCGGCAGTTCAGCGAGTGTTTTGAACTAAAGTGTGTCGTGATATCGACCTTGCGTTCGCCCGCGCGGTATGCAGGAGGAGGAGGAGGAGGAGGAGGAGGAGGAGGAGGAGACCTCTTGAGGCCCTTGTCGGTGCCTCCTGGGAACCTCCTGACGGCCTCGTGGCGGCCTCTTGGGGGCCTCCTGAGACACCTTGGGGGCCTATTGGGGCCTCTTGGGGCCGTCTTAGAGGGCCTCTTGGCCTGTCTGACGCCTTCGGAAGCCGTCTCGGGGGCTTCCGTAGGCCGTCTTGGTGCCCTCTTGAGACGTCTTGGGGCCATCTTGGGGCCCTCTTGGGCGGCTCTTGGGCGATCTTGGGGTCCTCTTGGGCTGACTCGGGACCCTCTTTGTGGCCTCATGGGCTCTTTTGGAGCTATCTTGGAGGCCTTCTGGGCTGTCTTGGGCGGGCGAGAGCTTCAAAATCCTTCAAAACGCCCAGGGAATCAATTGTTATTGCTTCCTCGGGCTCTCTTGGAGAGCCTTTTCGAGCCCTCTTGGGCCGTTTGGGAGCTCCTAGGTCTGTCTTGAGGCCGTCCTGTGAGCCTTTCGAGCCGTCTTGGGCCATCCTGGACCGTCTTGGTGGCATCCTGACTGCCTTGGAAGCCGTCTTGGAGGCCATCTTGCCCGTCTGGAGGCTGAACAGAGCGCCGGAGAGCTAATTCAGGGGGGGGGGGGGGGCGCTCTTCGGCGGGTGCGCGTGATGCGGAAGGGGAGGGGGGGGGGCGGCCCTAGAAAATTGAAGAAACCTCTCAGACAACAGCAATCATGCCCACTGCGCACAAGGCCTGGTGGCGGATAAGGAAGAGGGATTGAGGGAGGGATGGGAGGAGAAGGTGGAGGTAGAAGGAGGGTAGAAGGAGAAATAATACATGTTTTTGAGGGTGGGGCTGAAAGGAGATTTGGCGTCATGGAGGCTCTAGTGGGTGCTCGTGTGTCCTCCGCCTACTCCTTCATCGTCTTTCCTTCGCCTCTCCTTCTTCCCCTCGTCCTCCTCCTCCTCCCGCTCCCTCTCCTCGTCCTCTCCCCTCCTCCTCATCCTCCTCCTCCTCCCGCTCCTCCTCTTCCTCCTCCTCTTTCTTCTCCTCCTCCTCCTCCTCCCGCTCCCTTCTCGCACCTGCGTCGTGCGATGGCAGGGCCTCGGTCGAAAGGTCATGCAAGAGCTCCAATCGCTGAGGGCCTTCCTGGCCCCCCCCGATTGGCCAGTTCTCATTCCTGCGGTTCACCAATTGCCCGGCCTGCTACAACCTGTGGTCGGGGTGGATCTGGACGGAGCGGAGGCTGCTGTCCCACTCCACCCTCTCCCCTCCCCCCAGAGTGCCAAGGCGGGCTCTAGCAGGGTCGCCGTGGGGTCGCGCACGGTCACCTTCCCAGGAACCTGACGCCTCCCACGGAAAGGCGGCCACGCATGAGGCCACCGCACCCTCCTCTGGAGGACCACTCGAATTCAATCCTCCTCCTCCTCCTCAAATCGGGCCGGACGAATGGGGGGGATAGGGAAAGAGGGTGTTACGAAATTTGCTGCATGTAGCTGGTTTCGGGCCCACCGAGGGGCCCATTCCTCGATACATAGCCGCCGCGCCGGGAGGCGCCGGGAAAATCAGCTATGTGAGCTGATTCTCTAACCCCCCCTTTGCTATCCCCCCCTTTCGCCTGGCCCGATCAAAGGCGGCCACGCATGAGGCCACCGCACCCTCCTGGAGTACCAGTCCAATCCAATCCTCCTCCTCCTCCTCCTCCTGCGTTCTCCCGCCTTCCCCTCCCCCCGCCCTACTCCCTCCTCCCTCCTCCTGCTCGTCCTTCTTCTCCTCCCTCGCCACTGCTCGTCCTCTTCCCCTCTCTCCTCATTTTCTTCATCCCATTCCTTGTTCTCCTCCCCTCGTCCTCGGCCCATCCTCCGTAGCCATGGTGGCTTAAGGTTGGGTGGCCCGAGGGCCTGATGAAACGAGAAGTTGTTTGACCTCATGACAGCGAAATCGCGCGCATTCATTCTCGTTGCTCTGCTACAGCTTCTGGGCAGCGCCATCGGAGTTCACCATGCGGAGCCTGGCGAGCAGGCATCCAAGGGAGCCCCTCTGATGCGCAAGGAGTCCTCGCAGGCAGTGGCCGCGGCCTCCGACGAGGGCGACGAGGCCGCCCCCCGCGCGGATCGACTGGCAGTGATCGTCACGGCGTCGGGGCTTCTGGATGGCGCCGGTGACGGTCCAGCTCACGGGGAGGCGGTCGGGCGGGGCTAGGACGAGGATAAATCCGCTTCGGAGCGTTCCGGCACGCTCTCAGAGCGTTCCGGAAGGCTTAGAGAAGGCCGCGGCGCCCGAGACATCTTCCAGAGCCGCTGGATCTCAGAGAATGTCGATCTGTCCTCACCCGACTTCGTCCTCGTCCTGGCCTCGTCTTAGGCGGGTGCTCAAGACAGGAGCACGGCAGATTCGACTGCCGAGTACGCGCGGGCGGTGCTGCCCTCCAGGAGCATCGCGTCGCGGGAGCAGCGGCGCGGCTGCCCCCACTACCAGCGGGTGGGGTGCCTGTTGGACGTCATGGAGAAGACGTGCGAGCCGGACGTCGGAGGAGGAAAAGGTACCCGTACCGCTACCCTCGCCCCGATTTCCCCTTTTTGGGCCTCCTCGGAGGCCCTCGTCGCCACCGTCGGGCTCGCCTCAGAAAGTCCGGTCAGAACGCACCCTGGGAGAGGTCCGGGAAGTAGCGATATCGGTACTTCTCTGGTCTCCCCAGGACGAGGGGCCCGCCGCTATGTGGCAGGGCCTCAGGTTGCGCACAGGCCCCCACTGGAAGATGAGATCGACGGGCAATGCAGAGGCGACTCTGGATTGACATCGGAAACGAGCGAGGTGTCTATCTCCAGGACATGCAAGTGCCACCCCACTCGAGTGTGCGCCGACCCCTGCCAGGATCGTCTTGAGTGCCGCCGGCCTACAGCAGCGCCCGCCCGTCACCCCTGGGAGGCAGCCCAGGCTGACCTCGGCAGGGCCCCGAGGGGCACCCTCGAGGCTCGGACCTCACGCTTCCCCCTTGGATATCTTGCGGCCCTTCAGTGCATCTTGCGTCTTCCACATAACCAGGACAATGTCAGATCGACCAGAGGTGCTGACCCTTACACAACCAGGATTGTTCAGAGAACGCGTTGTGGTGCACGCCGTATGTGTTGTTCTGTGAGGTGCACATGGCCACAGACCGGCCGTTCACGCGAGGTGAGAGGGGATGGGGTCGGAGGATCGCGCCGCCTCGCCGATGCATCGGCGATGCGGCTCGACGTGGAGCCCGATGTTCTCCACGCTGACGGCGCCAACGCAGCGCCGACGTCGCCGATGCATCGGCGATGTGGCGCGATCCTCCGACCCCATACACGCGGACTTCTGTTGGGAGGCCTCCGAGGTCGTCCAGGCCAGTCTCAACGCTCCTGCGCCGTCCCCCGCGGCGCCGCCCAGGGGCACCGAGCGCCCCGAAGCCGGGGTGTTGAGACCGCCCTGTGCCGACGCGGCGGCGACGCCAGCTCGGGCGTTCGAGGCCGAAGGCCGTTAGCAGTTTGGATTCGGCCAGTGTTGAGCGAACCTGGTCGCAAGAAGCCCACGCTCGTTCAAGGCTGAAGGGTCCACGCGGTGTCGGAAGCCCGCTCACGAGTCCTCACGACGACACGAGCTCGCCGTCCCCCCGCTGGCGGCTCTCCTGCGCGCAGCCTCGAGCCTTGCCACCGCCATGCAGCTGCAGATGCACAGGGAGGAGTCGCTCTACATGTGCTGCTGCCCCACGCCGTACAAGAGCTGCGCGGCGGAGGAGCGGTCCTTGGACGGGGCTAGGACGAGGATAAATCCGTTCCAGAGCGTTCGGAACGCTCTCAGAGCGTTCCGGAAAGCTCTGAGAAGGCGCCCCAGACATCCTGCAGAGCCGCGGATCTCCGAGATTCTCGATTTGCCCCCACCTGACTTGATCCTCGTCCTGGCCTTTGTCTTAGGTCCCCCGCCTGCGACCGCGCCTTCAAAGAGTTCATCCACCCGCTCGGCGCCGACGTGACCCCGCAGGCGCTGGGCGACGCCATCCAGATGGTGCGCGGCCGGATGCTGGCCGACGGAGGTGAGGCGTGCTCGGTGCTGGCCCGGGCGGAGCCCCTGTCGAAGTGCGGGCGCCAGGGCTCGCCTCCGGTGCAGCGCTCGCTGGAGAGGGAGGACCTCTTCTGCGAGATGCTCACGTGGCAGTGGGAGGAGCTGGGCGATGGCAACCGGGAAGAGTTCCAGCGGAACAACTGCCCGTTCGTGCAGGAGATGCAGGGCAGGGGCGGAGACATGCGGAAGAGCCAACGCTTGACGTCCAAGGAGTTGCCGCAAGATTGGTTTGAGCGAGTGGGTATGTCAACGCCTGCGCGTGTCGTTGCTTCCACAGCTGGGAAGATTTCGGGGTAACGTTGTCAGCACACCAACAGCGCACTGACAACGATGCGGCTGGGCACTAGGCGATACGGGCACAGCAGTGCACGAGCTGGATTGCTAGTGATGGATGTCCCTTCAGCACAAGTGGCCATCCGTGTGGCGCACAGCGCAGTGGATAGAAAATGAGGAGAATCATACATCAGCGCTCTGTACGTTCACAGCACCGTGCCTGTTCCGGCACCGAGCATCGCCCCGAAGCATGACTACACGAAGTTCCTCGTGGCCATGAGACCCGAACGGCCTGGTGGTCCCAAAGCTTCTTGAGACCTAGTCGTCATACCATGCTGTTGTGTGGCCGCCCACACTGAGCTGCAGCGATCTCCGAGTGCGTTGTGCAAGAAGTCATGCGCTGCCTCGCGTATCCGCCACCGAGCTCTTGGCTCTAGGGTGGAGGGAAGGGGGTCGTGGGGGAGGTGAGCCCACTTGTGTTGACGCCATACTTGGGCTAGGGGCTAGGGGTGGGAAAACGCATGGATTTGGAACGAACGCATGAAACCATGTTTGGCTCGACAATCGGGGGAGGTGCCTGATTGCAGCAGTATTGATCCGCAAGAGTGGAAGAATCAGGTGGGATCGGCTCTTCAGAGTTGCTCTCTCGAAGGAGCGGCGGTCGGGATGAGACGCTCATCCTTCTCCCCGTCTTTCTTCTTCGGCAAGGGCCGATGCCCGTTGCGTCTGGAGCCCTTCGGAAAAAGATAGCAGCAGGAGCTGCGGTTGCAATCCCAGCGTCCACCCGCTAATATGTGTGCGTCCAGGGCGCCCAGTCCCCCTGGAAAAATCTGAAGCTGGAGGTCGACACGGAATTTGCTTCATAAGTCGATCGAGCTGTGCGGGTCGGTTGCTGGAGACTCTGAAGGGGATATTTTCAGGAGTCGATCAGTTAGTCGGTCGCTCACTGCGGGTCGGCCAGCTGATCACCTGCTTCTTGTTTCCCCTCCCCCCTCGGGTACACAGGGGAGTGGGGGAGTGGGGGAGTGGGGCGGGTCAATTGCATGCGCCCCAGCGTGCAGGCAGTGGAGGAGCCGGTCAGACCGCTGGAGAGGAACATCCACTTGACGGCTTCCACCCAGGGTGGGTCCTCTCCCCCTCCCTCCCTCCCCCCCTCCCTCCTCGTCCCTGTCGCGCCTCCCTCTGTCTCCTCTTCCCCCGCGTCCTCCTCGCTCCTCCTCCGCACTCTCGCCTCCCTCCTCCCTTCCATGAGTCTTCCCTCCTCTCCGCTTTCTGGCCCTGCGGGAGCGCCCTTCTGCGATGGCCTGGGGCATCGCGCGAGCCAGTCCGAGAGCTCCAGGCACGGCCGAGGGAGGGCAGGCGAGGAGGCCCGCTTCCGTTGCGGTAGAGAGCCATGGCAGAGGGGGGGCGAGGAGGGGGTTTGGGGGAGGGGCCAGGGGGGAGCAGCGCAGCGGGCAGGAACAGTACAGAGGAGGAGAAGGAGGAGAAGACGGAAAAGGGGGGTGTCATGGGAGTGGGGGGCAGGGGGGGAGGGATCGAGGAGGAAGGCAGGGGGACAAGTGCAGGGGGAGCAGGAGGAGAGCATGGGAGGAGGGCAGGGAAGGAGGACGGGGGCGGGGGAGGGAGGAGGGATGAGATTGTGGAAGACGGGGGTCGCGGAGGATGGAGAAGGGCGGGAGGATGGAGGAGGAGGGAGGCCGTGGAGGGCCAAGGGGAGGTAGAAGGCTCCTGTACCGCATCGGGCAAGCGGCCCGAGCCAGAGGCCCCGACCCTATCCTTTGAGTGCTGGACCCCCTCTCCCATGTGGAGGCCCAGCAACATCAGGCCTCCACATGGGCTGCGGGCAGTGAGTACGCGGACGAGCCGGCGGCCCGCGGCTGCGGCCGCGGCTTGGTCCGAATTCGCAAGGAAACGCAAGCAGGCGCGTGGATGAGCGACGGGCGCCGCAGGCGGCACTGGCGCTGTGCTTCGGGGGCTGCGATTCCGGATCCGTGGGTGTGGCGCCCACGCGCCAGATCCACGTCCAGAGGTGACGTGCTGAGCGGCAGCATTTTCCAGCGAGCGCCTTGATGCAACGTATACGATGTATCCGATGATTGCAGACTTGCTACATTTTGTAACCTGTTACATTCGAATGTCTCCCCTCCGACCCCCCCCCCAGAGGCCACGCCACATCCACCGACCCAAAGATGATGGACCCCTTCTGGGTTTCGAAAACCTCCCAAACCGATGGAAAATCTATGATTTGGGTCCCGTGGCCCTCCCAGGGGCCCAAGAGGGCCTCAGAAGGGCTCACGATGGGCTGCTCTAGACAGGCCACGACGGCCCCGAGACGGCCCAAGAGGACCCCAAAAGCGCCCAAGACGGCCCAAGAGGGCCTCCAGAGGAGCCCCTAATAGCGCCTCCGCAAGCCCAAATCATTGATTTGTCGAAGGGTTTGAAGGATTTTCGCGTTCTCGTTTTTTTTGGACTGACGGTCAGTCCAAAAAACGAGAACGACCCAGGCAGCCTCCAAAATCGCCCGATGAAGGCTCAAGAAACGCCCGCGAGGATCCCAAGACGGTCCCAGAGGGCCCCAATACGGCCCAAAGAAGTCCCCAAGACGGCCCAAGGGGCCCCCGAGACGGCCCAATAGGACCCTAGGACCCCTAAGAGAGCCCCCAGAAGCCCCAAACGGCGCAACAGCGCCCAATTCTGCTCAAGACGCCCCCAAGAAGCCCACAGAAACCCTAAAGAAGTCCGGAGGAGACTCCCGAGAACCCCCAGAACGACTTGACTGGACGTGCTCCGGACGTGCACCCCGCGAAGCGAGAGGAATCCAATCATCTCTCTCCAATGCCAGCTTGTGCCCGACATTCGCCCGTCTCCCGACCCCTGCCACCGGCTGGACGGGCGCGGAGCCTCCCCTGATCCACCGGCGTGCGCGCAGAGCGCAGGCGGAGCTGGTCCAGGCCGGTCCTCGGACCTGAGTCGCGGCCCGCGGCCCCGCGCCGCGCTCGGACCCCGAGGGTGCCGAGGTTCGGGCGGGGCACGAAATTCTCGCAGCACGACCAGCGCAGGGCGGGCAGCAAGTTCTGTGTGGGGTCGGTTCGGAAACAAAAACGGCATCAACGTAAACTCTCGGAGTTCCGCGCGGATGTCTTGGATCGGCGTTGTGGCCCAGCTGGCGGCGCCTCGGGCGCCGCCCCTGGCGGCGCCCGAGGCGCGCCAGGGCGGGGGGTCCAGCGCAGATCCAAGAAATCCGCGCAGACTTCCGATAAATTATGTTTATGCTGTTCGTTCTTCCTCTTGCGCTGGAAGGCGTTCGTCAACCACGAAAGGTTTGGTTGCGCCGCCCCTGCGGTCTGTGGCCTCACTCCTCCTCCCCTCGGTATCGCCCCGCTTCGTGGTGGGCGCGTCCTGGGAGCTGAGGGTTGGGCGACTCGGATCGTCTACAGATCTGGGGGCAGCATAATCTAATATGCAAAGGCATTCTGGCCAGTACCGCCGATGCTGAAGGACGAAGAGGAGGAGGAGGAGGAGGAGGAGGAGGAGGAGGAGGACGAGGACGAGGACGAGGACGAGGACGACGACGACGACGACGACGACGACGACGACGACGGCGACGGCGACGGCGACGGCGACGGCGACGGCGACGACGACGATGGGGACGACGACGACGATGACGCTCGCGAGCCCTCGCGGGGTCCTTGTGGGCCCTGTGGGCCTCGGGACCCCCACCAGGGACCGCCCCCCGCGACCGCCCCCAGCGATCCCTTCCCTGGACCCCCCCTCCGCAGCACGTGTGGTAGCACAGCCACGGCTGACCCCCATGATCTCCTGGCCGACTGCACGGCCCCTGCAGCCTGTCTGTCGGTCTGTCAGTCTGTCTGTGTCTGTCTGTCTGTCTGTCTGTCTGTCTGTCTGTCTGTCCGTCTGTCTGTCTGTCTGTCTGTCTGTCTGTCTGTCTGTCTCCTCTCCCTCCCTCGCTCCCTTTTCCCTTCCTTGTCATCCTCCCTCCTCCTCCTCCTCGTCCTCCTCCTCCTCCTCCTCCTCCTCCTCCTCCTCCTCCTCCTCCTCCCCTCCCCCTCCCCTCCCTCCTCACCCCTCCTCACGCGCTTCCTCTTTCGCCACCCTGCTTTCTACACCTCGTGGAGGGGGCCCTCCTCCTCCGCCGCGCCGCGCCGCCCTGGGGCGCCCCGCCACGGCCCGCCAGTCGGCGCTCGCCGGCGAGCTGACGGGCGACCTGGCGGCGGCGTACTCCCAGAGGTCGTTCCAGGAGCTTCTCTTCGGCCTCCTGCTTGGAGATGGTAGGAGGAGGGGGAGGAGGAAGAGGAGGAGGAGGAGGAGGAGGAGGAGGAGGAGGAGGATAATGGGGAGGAGGAGGAGGAGGAGGAGGAGGAGGAGGAGGAGGAGGAGGAGGAGGGGAAGTACACTCTGCGCCCTTGTGGGCCCGCCGTTTTTTGTCCTTGCCTCTAGCGCCTATCTGTTTCTTTGCTGCGCCCGCAAGGCGTAATTTGTTGGCCTGAGGCCGAAGTCGGCATTCTTTCATTTGTCTCTCGTGCCACCCGATCAAAACGGAAACAAAGGAGGAGGAGGAGGAGGACCCGTGCGTCTGACTGACGTCTGTTTGATTTCTGCGCGCATGAGTAGCGCAAAGCAGCGGTGTGAACTGTGGTAGAGTTGCTGGCTGCTGCTGCTGCCTTCCCGAGCGTGGTTTGCACAGCTCGGATGCACATTCCAAATGTGCTTAGGCTCCAAATGTACTCAGGCTAGCGATATCCAAAGGGGCCAGAATTTCCTTGCTTGGGATGCTGGCGCTCTCCGAGGCAGTTGAAACGTTGCCACTTTATGATTGTTGTGATGGGCTCTGGGAGCCTCCGGTCAAATGTGTTGAAATCGCGCTGCAATCCCAGCAGGCCATGAGGCAATTCTTACCATACACAGATGTAAGCATGGATACATATGTCTACGTGTCATATATCTATACAGGCAGATCCATCATATACATCGATATGCATATGTGTATGTGTTGTCTTCTTCAGGCCTCGGAGAGTTGCGATAAGGTCAAGCTGTATCTTGGACACTTGTCTGAATTATGACGGGCCTGGGTGGCCTCGATGGAAGTTCGGTTGCGACAGATGCCGCACCTCGAGCGATTTTCTGAAAGTAGAACCACTGTTGAGCGCGCCTCGCTATTATTGTGAAGGCCTTACGGCTGGTGCCGCTGACCCAGAAGGACGACGACGACCATGAGACGAGGACCACGACGACAACGACAACGACGAGCTGATGACCCTGCCACAGGCTCGGGACATGGGGCGGGCGGAGGAGGGAGGATGAGCAGGAGGAGGGAGCAGGAGGCGGAGAATGGGCCAGCTGGTGAGCGCGCCTCTCTGTCTGCTCTTCCTGACGAGGGCCAGCAACCTCGGCTCCAGGATCCAGAGCGGGCTTGGGGGGGAGACGGCACGGGAGGGCGCGATGCGGGCGGCACCCGCCTGGGGTTTTCGGGCATGCTCGAAAACGGGCTTCCCGCATGCGTTTCCTCCAGGCCCGCGGGGGGAGCATATCAGAGGAGGGAAAGGTACCCATACGGCTACCCGTCCCTCGCTTTCTCCATCTTGGGGCCTCTTGGGAGGCTCTCGTCGCCACCGCTGGATTCGCTTTGAAACCCTGGTCAGAACGCACCCCAGGAGAGGTCTGAGGAGTAGCGGTATCGATATATTTTAGTTTCCCTAGGAATAGTCAGCCACGTGGGAAGATCCTTGGTAAACCACTCGAAGAACCGACCGGTGAAAGAATGGTCGGCTTGGTAGGCATGGATCTCGGCCTCGGAGGGTCCTCCCTTCTTCAGAGCCGCAGCTTTAGCGACTCGGTCGGCAACATCGTTGCCAAGGGCCATGAGCCTTTCCCTGGATCCAAGCATCATCACCACCACCACCACCATCACCAACATCATCATCAACAACAACAACAGTTTCATCATCATAATCAGCAGCATCAGCAGCATCAGCAGCATCAGCAGCAGCAGCAGCATCATCATCATCATCATCATCATCATCATCATCATCATCATCATCATCATCATCATCATCATCATCGTCGTCAACATCATTATCATCCTCATCGCCATCAGTAGTAGCATCACCATCATCATAATCATCAGTATCAGCAGCTTCATCATCATCGTCACCACCATCATAATCACCATCGACATCATCATCATCAGCAGCAGCAGCATCATCATCATCATCGTCATCGCCATCGTCAGCAATGTCATCATCATCAGCATCATCATAGTCATCATCACCATGACCATCATCAACACCACCACCACCATTATCATCATCATCACCATCATCAACATCATCAGTGGCATCGCCATCATCATCCTCATCCTCATCCTCGTCGTCCTCATCATCATCCTCATCCCCATCCTCATCCTCATACTCGTTAACATTGTCCTCAGCATCCTCATCCTCAGCATCATTAACGTCATCCTCAGCATCGTCATCATCAACAGCATTAGCAGTATCGCCACCACCATGAACACCACCAGCATTCTCATCATCACCACCATCATCATCATCACCATCACAATCACCATCACAAGCATACGCATCATCCTCTTCCTCCCCATCATCCATCATCATCATAATCATTGCTACGATCAGCATCATCATCACCATCAATTTCCCCTCATCATCCACATCAGCATCCTCATCCTCACCATCATCAGCGCCATTAGCGGTATCGTCATCACCATCGTCATCTTCATCATGGCCATCATCTGCATTATCAGAATCCCCCCCTTCTCTGGAATTTCGCTCCCCCCTCGTCGCATCCCTCCTCCTACGGAGGAGGGGAGGGAGGAGGAGGAGGAGGAGGTGGAGAAGGAGTATGGAAGGTTTTCCAGAAACCGTCTCTTCCCCCCCCCCCTACCACCACACACTTTGCCACCTTCTGATCGGGGAGAGGTGGGGGAGAGAGGAGTTTTCGCATCCCCCTCCTATCTTTTGGGGGCCTCCTCGTCGCTTTCTTGGGGCGGGGGGGGGAGAAGGAAAGGAGGGAATACAACAGTTGCCTGCTTCCCAATTCAACTGATGGGAAGAGGACCTCCTCTCTGCTGCAGCCGGCAAGGGAGGAAGAGGGGGAGGTGAGGAGGAGGAGGAGGAGGAGGCTGCGTATGCCCGGCGGCGGTTGGCGGCGGAAGAACAGCTACAAAGCGCTTCGGACTAGCCACAACGCCTACAGAGAGGAAATAGGACGAGGGAGAGGAGTCGCCAGGAGAACGAAGCGGGGCCCCGTGAAGGGAGAGGGAAGAGAGAGAAGCCCGCCGTGAGGGAGCGCCGCGCAGGGATCCTCGCCAAGATGCGAAACAAAGAGCGGAGCACAGCACAGCGAAGGGTGTAAGAACCAGCGGCGCGATCGGATCCTTACCGCCTTCCTCCTCTCTTCCTCCTCCCTTCTTCTTCATCCCCCTCCTCCTCCTCCTCCTCCTCCTCCTCCTCCTCCTCCCCCTCTTCCTCCTCGCCGACATCCTCCTGCTCTTCCATCTCCTCTCTTCCTCCTCACCAACGTCCTCCTGCTGTTCCCTCCCCCCACCCCTCATTATCCCTCTCTTTCTCCTCCCCCTCATCCTCCTCCTCCTCCTTCTCCTCGTTCCCCCCTCCTCCCTCGCCTTCGCCTCCTCCCGTCCTCCTTCGGTGCCTGATGATGGCTCGTCCATCCGCTGCGGACTTTCGAGGCTGCCAGGCCTTCCTGCTGCTGCTCTTCATCATCGCCGTTCTCATCATCGCCATCGCGCTCGTCTTCCTCATCGCCTCCCCCCCTGTTGCCCTCCTCCCCAGCGTCCCCCCGCATCTTTCCCCTCTGCCTCCCCTCCCACTTCGATTTCCCTTGCCACCGGTCCCCTTGCATGTCATCCGTCCGTTCCTTTCCAAATTCCTTTCACCTTCTGTTGCTGGAGGTCCTTTTCGCCATCCCTCGACTGCTGCTGCTGCTGCTGCTGCTGCAACTCCTTATTCTCCCCATCCCTGTCGACTCCCGCCCACGTGCGTAATTGTCCCCCTTCCCTTCCTCCGCCGTGCGGCCAAAGCGTGGGCCCTGATGAGTCGGGCACGGCTTGCACAGGCAGACCGCCGCAGGTGGCGCCTCGAGGCAGACGCGAGAGGCAGACTCGGGAAGCAGGGCGCGCGGTGCGAGCCCGATGCTGGGATCGATGTGTGTTTTGCTAAGCGCTTGCGTTCCATATAATCATGTATAATATAATCTATTTGCTTTATACACATATTATAAGTTGTTGCAAGTGCTGCAAGCTATATATATATATATATATATATATATATATATATATATATACCATATACATGTTGCGGACCGTGGTTGTGAACAGGCTCATGGTGATAGCGACCTTAGGCACGTGACCTTTCCTCCGAGCTGTTTTTACGAACCATCTTACCGTAAACGAGCGAACAAGCATAACACCCTTACCATCCTTCTTATCGGGCTTAGGGATCTTGGTCCGAATATGTTTGTATAGATTTCGAAGGTAGAACAGATCTGAGTTAGTAACCACGGTGGCCAAGTTTACTAAGTAGGTTGGCCAGAGAGCATGTGATGCGGCTGTGACCATATGCGCACACATATTTTCAGATCTTGTTCACATATTTTCAGTTGTTGCTCGCATTTGTTATTATTTCCGCTGCCATTTCTGATCAAACTTCGCGTCAATTTGATTTTGTGCGCAGGTGTGCACGCCAGCGCTGACGTGAGTGCATGATCCGCCATGGACCACCCGACTCTGCAGGCGAGCTTGGCGAAGGTCGCTCCCTACATCAATGAGACGATCGCAAAGTTCAGAGATGGCGACTGCGAGGCATTGAAAGCGAAGTCCCACGAATTGATAGAGCAGTTGTTGGCCAATGATCTTGCGGTCAAGGAAGTTCACGATTGCAAAGAAGTCGGCGTTCATTGCGACAACAGAGACGGCATTGGGATTGAAGTTCCCGATGTGCACGTTCTCATTCAACGGATTTGCCAGGCGGGCTGGGACCCGAGGGTCCCGACAGCGATTGCGTTCGAGCGGCCTGACGGCCCGCAGGGCAAGAAGATGATGGATTTCAACTTGAAGCTGATCGCCGACAGCGACGGGCACCTCGCGCCTCTGATCGACCATGAGGTCAAGATCTTCTCCGCGAGCTCGTCCCACACGGTCGCGGGCCACCGTTGCGTTAGGATAGTTGGGTCGAAGTGCTCAGCCACATTACCTTGGCCAATCC